TCTACAAATTGTTCTCCCATTTTGCTCCCGTCCTCATTAAAATAAAGACTTACGTACTTAGGATCGTAATAGAGGTACGAGGATGCTCGTGTCTTCACGAAGTACCAATATGATGTTAGTTTCAGTAGGGTTATAATTATGGCAATGTCGTCTTACAAGCACAGTGAGTTTTCGAGTGTCCTTATTTTCAGCATCATCTATATACAGATTGTTTTATAATATTAACATCAAAGCTTTCAACAGACAACTACCTTGACTGTGGCTATATGCCACAATATTAAAGTTCTTTTTAAAAGTGGTGGAGTTTAGGTAATATAAAAATAAACAAACCTCACGAATAGCCAAATAAATTTTACAATCTATGCTAATATTATAACTGAAGTATTTGGTTTTTGTTTGTTTGTATAAACGCGGTAATCTAAGGAACTACTTGTTCGAATTGAAAAAATGTTTTCGGGATAGCTTACGGCTTAAGGCTATAATATAACATCATGCAATTACTATCAAATAATAGGGGCGAAGAAAACGAGAAAATAATTATTATCCTTGAGATGGGTAGTTTAAACTAAATTCATCCCAAATATAATTTCGTATATATAACTATTAATTATAAAATAATATAATTAACTGCTCCGCTGTCGAAGATGTAGGATTAAACACGTAGTTGGTATGTGTGCTTGAATTTTAGAAAAAAACATAATAATTTCGGTCGGGCAGAACTGATATATAAATAAAATCGGTCAGTAAAGGCACTGAAACATATCTGTCCGTGGATTTCACATAAATACCTGACATTGTTAAAGTAAAAAAGGCAATTAAATATGTTTTAATCGTGCGTTTAAAACACTTTAACGGCTTACACGATATATCCGTAATGTCGGGCCGTATTTAATACAATTTCCAGATAATACTAATAAATAGCGCGTTTTAAACAGTTAAAGTGCTTTAAATGTGTTCAACTCGCGTAAACTACAGACAGTATTTAATCGTTCGTTATTATCGAGCTGTGATTGTGCTGTGTATACACCATTCGCTTGTATACAACCTACCACCTGTTAAATGTAACATTTTGTAAAGCCCCGGCCCCATTACTGCACGCAACATGTTGTAAAAGTGCATATAATAATGATGACAGTGATCTGGATGATTATTATTAAAAAAAAATCGACCATATGATATCGGGTAGGTCTTCTTAGGCTTCTTAAATGGTTTCGCTGTATTAAATTACTTTGTGCCTTCGAAATTCGGGTACAGGTCTCCACTAGTACTGTCTGTTGTTGAAGCAAGTCTAATTTTAATGTTAATAACACTTTTAACGGTTTAAAACGCGATTTATATTAAATTGTGTAGGGCTTTCACGGCCATTGTCAGCATATCATTGTTTTTCAGGTTGTTCGGCCGACGTGAGCGAGAAGAGGCTGCTGCAAAACATCAGACGTTTCGGATGCTATGCAGCAGCCGTAGTCTCAGGGAGAAACGTCGGGCCGTAGTTTAAATAATTTCCAAATAAGTTACTACCACTAATAAGTCACTAATATATATCGACTTTAAATCGGTGAAGTGTTTTATTTAAACATCCTGTAGGGTTGTCTTCTGAGAGTCAATCAGGTACCTTCACCTCAAGGTCTTACTAACTCGCTATCTACCACTGCGTCCGAAGAACTGACGACAAAGGAGGTTGAAGCGCCCTTTCTGGGCGTTTTCAGCCACCGCTGAGGGCACGTCCTCGGAAAACCACCGGAATTAAAACCATCACTTTCTGACGACCATATCCATCACCTGGTGATTGAACCACAGAGTTCCACAAGGGTTTCGAACCCTGGACATTCCACCAATGGACGTTTATTGAGGGATGCTGTTAAATTTATTACACGCAATTCTATGAAAATTCATCCAATACCAGTAAAAAGGTCGTGCTCCGAACGAAATGGACGAGCGAAATATTGCCGTAGCTCTCAATTCAATTATTTTATTACATCTTCACATCAATATTTACGTACATATTCGTATAACATATATATTATTCCCCGGGCCCCCCCCCCCCCTTTTTAAAAAAAAAACCAAAGCCCCGGGGGGTTTAAAAAAAAAGGGGGGTTTTCCCCCCCCCGGGGGGGAAAGGGGGACAGGGTGGAAAAGAAAATTTTGGGGGAAAAAAAAAAAAAATTTTGGGAAAATAAAAAGGAAATTTAAAACTTCCTTTGGGACTTCAACTCTCGATCTTACGAACAGAATGAAAACGAGATCTTTGTTATCTAAATAACCACCATATATAATAGGCCACTCTGCTTTTAGCCGCCTCAAGAAGCAGAGTGGCCTAATAAAAAAAAAAAAAAAACGAGGAAAATATAAATGCGCATTAAATTTAGGCGAAAATAAGTTGTACTATTATTTGTGTTAGTTTATGTTTACAATTTTCGGTCACTGTGCTGTTGTAAATTAATATTTTATAAACAATTTTATTTAGTTAGACCCGTACGGAATTTATTTATTTGGGTCAAAATTAGAAATTGAAATTTAATCACCTTCCCGTTGTCAGGTTGATCTGAAATTTGGTACACACATTTAATTTACAATATAATAAAATCAATAATATGATAAATCTAAGATGGCCGCCGATACAAAATGGCGGATTACATATTTTTCCTAAACCCCCTCAATATGGGTTTCAAATGAAAGGGCTACACTAGTAAACACAAGTAAACACAAAATATAAATAAGTCAAGTCACAAAATTGCAGTTAGGCTACTCTGCATCTAGCGGGTCTATATGTGTGTAGTAGTTTCCTACTGTACGTTGGTATGCAATGTGAGTACAACTTGCCTAACATAAAGGCTTTGTACTGAAATCCTTGCAATATAGAGTCGCATTGATTTTCCGTAAAAGAGAATCGGAAATTTTCGTGCCGATGGTAACTCTGCCGAGAAACTAATTGGAATCGCTTTCAAGTAGGTTTCGAGTTGTAACCACTGTGTTGCGTTGGGTCGACCGTTATCGAGTTTAGTTTGAAAATGATAGCGTCCAACGGAGGCTTTGGCAAGTAAATCATCTGCAACTAGGTTGCTAGAAATCAACGTGATCGAATATCCTCTAGTTTACTTGTGTAGTGAATTATATATGTGCAACAGTGCAACCTTAATATAACGAACCTCAATATAACAAATTCTTCGTAATCCCCTTGAATTCCCTTGGGTCCAACACAACGAGATGGTGGATGGACGACATTGTTACTGTTAAACCAACGGCGCCGTCAAAACGTAACGTAAAATATATTAGTTTACTGCTGGGTCCACCGACTGGTTTCTTGAAATATCAATTACAAGCAGATCGCGCTGATTTGACGCCCACCATTTTTAATCCCCCAAGGACCACGGTGTTGCAATGCGTCCGAAACGGCAGGTGGTAAAAATAAATTTAATATAACACAAGGATTTAAATTAAACACTCTAACGGTTTAAAACGCGAAATATATGAGTTCAACTTGTTAACAAATAATTTTTAACTAGGGCTAGACGTTGCGGATGCTTTGCTGCAGCCATTGTCACGGGGAGACGTAACTACAACTGCAAAGCATAATAACTAGTATATTTCGCGTTTTAAACCGTTAAAGTGCTTTATTCAAATGTGTATTCCTCGATAAATTACAGACGACATCTAGGTAATTTTATTTTTAACTATGACCCAACGTTTCGTACTAATATATTTGGCGTTTTAAAGCGATAAATGAGTTTTATTCCAGTCTGATATGAACATCTCGTGTACCTTTATACAAATTCCCAGCCGTGGAAAGCTTTATAGGGCTAAATAATGAGGTATACCATTGCAAAGACGGTGGTCTTTGCAATGGTATACCTTTTTTGTTATTACAGAATACGGAAGAGGGGAGATTATTAGTTTTCCGTCACCTTTTCCTCCGGGAAATTACTTAGAATCCGTAAATTAAGTGCTCGTCGTCTTGGGCAAATCCTTCAAATTATTTTTACGTCTAGACTTCTCTAGCTCCTCGAAAGAAGGAGTTATGCCAAAGAGACCGTTGCTTTATGTTATCTGTATCGCGGTCCAGCGTTCATCATAAAATTTTACATTTATTACAGTTAAATGGCGAAATCTACTTTCAGTCAAAATTTTATCAAAATATGTAGAGTCATGTGCTTGCAACGAACATTTAATCGTCATTACTGTTGTAATGGCGAGTTTAGATTTGGTAAATGGTGATATGATACTATACTTATAAAGCTGAAGAGTTTGTTTGTTTGAACGCGCTAATCTCACGAAGCACTGGTTTGAATTGAAAATGATTTTTGTGTTAGTTAGACCATTTATCCAGGAAAGCACACACTGCAACCAATGGGAGCGAAGAAGCAGTATAAAATGTGAAAAATACTGAGAAAATTCTTAGGGATTTAGTTGCGAAGGCTGCGAAAACGGTTCAACAAACCAAAAATATGTAAGAAAGAATGATTCCTCTTTAATTGATCTAAAAAATGTTAACAACGCTTTTGTGATCAAAATTAATGCATTATTGCCAAATATTTTTTAGAGTTGTATCTGAAATATTGAACAAACAAAGTTTATAAAAGTATGTAAACATTTTTATTTTACGGTCGATAAAATAGTGTCGTATTGAGGCATATAAAAAGTATTATAATACGTTGCTGCCGTTGCTATTGTTGCTACAATAAACGCAATCCGGCGAAAAGCTCGTTAAAAATGCACAAACGGTAAGTGAGTTTTTCAATACGTCGTATAGACCAAAGCGCCGTCATTAAGGTCGTGATTGGGGCGAAGGCTCCGCTTCAGGCTTCAACAACTGTTGAACGCATCTGCGCTGCAAGCCCCAAGTGTATAATAAGACTTACGTGTTCCCGCAGCGCATTTAAGCGCGGTCCGTCAACGGAGGTGGACGTTCGCAAGCGGTGTAAGCAACTCGACGAATCATGCAGTGCTTGAACTTATGTGTTGTTTTCCTATGTTTGTGGACTGTTGATTGCGCTGAGATAAAAATGGAGGAGCAGCTCAAGGCTATGGCGGAGCAGATAGAGATCATGAAGACCATACATAAGACCGATTTGAGTAGACTTCGAGAGGAGATAGCTGAACTGAAGTAAGTTTCTTTTGTTTTTTTTTTATATTTTGCGACTGTTTTGTGCTGTTGCGGCTAATTTAATATTTTTCACGTCTTATTGCACATGGTGGCGTTATACTTGCATTCATTGTGTGACACGGTAACCCAATTGGTTAGTATTGCACCACGGAACAGTGTGGATGCCTGTTCAAATCCTGATTGTGTTGTATCTTTTTCAATCGAAATGAAATTTTAATTTAGTTTTTTTTTATTTATTTTAATATTTTTAACGGTTTTGAAACATGAAACTATTAACATTAGTTAATTTTGCGTTTTAAACCGTTAAAATGTTTTATTTAAATGTATACTACTCACGTAAAATATAGACAATGCTTTGTCTTTTAAATGATATCAAACTGACTAAAGTTGAATTTAATTTTACCTAAATATTTTTTTTAAGCCTTCAACTGTAATTCAATGTCGCTTATTGTTCTTTGCGTAATTTTACTTTAGTTCTACATTTAGGTCTGTTGACTGAACTTCGTGATGTTATATTTTAGCTGACTGTGTTGTAATAACTTTAAGCTTTATTTATAATTTACACAAATTCAAAGTGGCGAAGACACCTTCAAGTCCTTATCGTGGTGAGCCTGCCCGATAGCTTTGTATTAACCCACCACCACCACCCACCCTTATTTTTAATACAACCATATCAAACATTGAATTTGAAAACCGATAATTCGTTTAAATAAAACACTTTAACGGTTTAAAACACGATATTTTTTAACTGCGGCCCGACGTTTCGGATGCTTTGCAAGTTTAAATAAAATGTATCGCGATTTAAACCGTTAAAGCGTTATATTTAATTGTGTACTATTCGCATAAACTACAGGCAGTATCTCATAATACGTATCAAACATACATTATAGTGGATACATTTATTTTCTTATTTCACATTTAATTATTACGTTATAACCACTTAAATTAAATGTCTAACTATTGCATTGTGCATCCGTTGATGAAGCGCGCACAATGTTTTATGTTAGATTCTTGGGAAACAACATTTATTGTAAGTCAATAATTCTCTACCTATTTAAAAGAGCCTTCAGTAAAGCGTCAAATTTTCAGCAATGAGATTTTAGACGGCAATTTATGCTGTTGTGTTGGTGTTGTTATGTTTCACTTAAGTAAAAGTTAATACGATAATACCAAAGTGCGTTTTATACTCGGGTTAAATTTGCAGGGAACATAATTTTATAACTTCTACTTAGTCCATTGAAAGCTTTTCCGTGTATACAAAATTATTCCTCATTGCCTCCTTAAATAAAGGGAAAATTTACGATTGAAGGGAACTATATGTTTTCTGATTTTTTTTATGTTAGAGGAGGACAGACAAGGGTGCTTTGGATATTCGGAAATCCACAGAGTGAAACCGAAACGTGATTAAACTTCGCAGTTTTTTTCATCTGTGGACAGTAGTTCGATATTCCTAACACCCAGATATCCAGATTTCAAGGCGAAGTCCAATATGTTTTTAATAAATTATAAATTGAAAAATAAGAACCCGAACTCCTACCCGTTGATTATTAGCCATACTTCTAACATCCCCGTCTAAATTTGTAAGTTTTTTTAGTATATCGTTTTGATAGTTCTTTTATTCGATATTTAAACGAGAGAATAATCGTAAATCGCTTCTAGGAAACTATATCTCGAGTATTCAGCTTCGAATCAAGTTGGAAACGCAAATAAAGTGCGAAGTATTTAAATATAAATGCTCTTCAGGGTTTTTCGAGTCATAATAGCAAGATTTGAAGTTGCACAAGGCGTGCCGTTTTACAAAACTTTGTTGAGTTAAAGTGCTGTTTCGAGATTATACGAAGAGGCCCTTGTCGAGAACCAGGGCATCGTATCAGCGCTGTATTTCTTCTGCAGTCCGCGGGGATTCACCGCTTATCCTTGAAAATGTTACGTGTCTTATTTTTTTGAACTTGACGTAACTTTATTTGGATAACTGTGCGATCTTTGATTTTTAAGCTATTAACACTTTTTATTCTTGTTAAATTTCTACTTAATGTTTGTTATACCAACATCGCCTATAAGAATTAATCCATTGAATGTCGCGAAATAAAAGATAACCTCTGCAATATGTAGGACTTAATTTAAAGTATGATCAAATACTATTAGACCTGTGTATACCTCAAAGGAAATACAAATTAAACGAAGAAAAGCAACTTTGTACTAAACAGAGTTGACATTTACAAATGAGATTCGGTACTATTTAATACTTAATTATTCGATATATTTTACATTAGGGATGTAAAAAGACATTAGAGGAATGATAGAAGATCTATACTAATATTATAAAGCTGAAGAGTTAGTTTGAACGCGTTTATCTAATTTTCCTTTTAAATTATTGAAAAAAAAAGGTCCGCGACCACATACGTCTATCTTGTAAGATTAATTTTCAAGAACTACGGGACACGCGAGTAACACCTATAAAATAAAGCTGAGGAGCTTTGCAAAAACTTATAGTGCCCAAAATAACTATTACACGCGGGCGAAGTTGCGGGCTCAGCTATTTATACATATGTCGCGTTTGATAGCCCTGTATTACACATTCCTCCCATTCAGTAGAGCCAGGTGCCTGCGTTTATATGTCAATTTTTGTATTCGTCTATTTTTACGCTATACTTTATGTAAGCTTCGACGCCGTGTAAGAGCATACTTAAGTAACAAAATGTATAGGTACTATTGATATAAACTTGTTCTCTGTTGCCTAGTAATATTCATAACATATTTTTTCTTTTCTCATTGGCTGTGTGTCTTTACAATATAAGACTATGGTGGATCTTCTCGAGAGATACGGATTGAAATTGTAAATGCATGGCGGATGGTATCCATTTTTTTAACAAATTCTACCAGTTCAAACGATACTATGCAAAGTAATTTTAGTCGTCTCAACAGTTACACGTACGTCATAGATCGATATAAAAAATCTACCCAAAAACCAATGATGGGGGTGAACATCTGGCTCTAATGGGATGTTTATTTATATCCCTAACGGAAGTAATATTATGCTACGGGCACATCCGGCAGGCGGTGATCGGCGTGTGCGCAGACGAATGTACAAAAAACGCTATTGTCATTTTCATTAGTGACGCCTGGCCAAAGGCATAGGCCGAATGTTCCAACATTTGCAAAAATTTATTAACTTAATTTGCCTAAAAGTTAGAATTTCCTTCCTATTGTAATTTGGGAGGACTGCCCCAAGTTATCAAACGCCTGTAATATCCCATATTATAATCTAGAATTCAAAAAACAACGCGAAGGCACCGTTAGTCAATTCTGCAAGGTCCCTGCAGAATGACAACACACAGGACAGGCATATCAACTACGAAGGAACAGAAAGTGCTAGCGTAGAATTTTCAACTTGGACAATTGAGACGCCCTCCATCTTTAGTCTCCCCGTGACCACGGCTGCAAAGCATCCAAAAAGTCGGGACGTAGTTAAAAATAATTAGTAAACAAGTTTAATTAACATATTTCGCGTTTTAAACCGGATAAAAACGTTTTAAATGTGTACTACCCGCGTAAACTACAGACGGTATTTAACATTTATAATTCCGAAAAATATTTCAATACATGATAATATGCCTTTTGGAAGCCCTCGTGGTCAATTAACGTGTTTCCAAAACGATTTCTAAACCGTAATAAGTACGACAGGTGCAAAGTTTCGTCCGACATTTGGCCGATGCAAGATTAGAATTTTTTTCGGGCCACGTGGCGGCCGAACAAAACACGACCATATTGCCTAGAGTGGTATATCAGAGTAGGAATAAAATAGGAAAGGTGAGGCGTTGGCGCGTGCGATTTTGGCCCCTTTTTTAAAGTGTTAAGAACCATATTTGTTTAATAGGTTACGAATTCGTGCGGGTGATATAAGGGTCATTTAATTCAATTTTTTTCTAATGCCCCCAACTGCAGCATATGGCGTTTACATCTGCTCTAAGAAATTTCAAGGTGCTATTAACTTTATGTGTATCTCCGCATCAGTAAATTCTGACACAATTAATTCTTAATTTCGTTTATAGGATTTCTTTAATTCCGGTTATAAGTTTTGGTATAAGCATTATATTGGGTCCCAGTACGAGTTTATGTTTGCTTGTTTTATTTCAAAATTTGTTACAATTTTTATTAAAATAGGTACTTACTAACTTTGTTTTAATACGCTAGGTAGTGATGTCAGTAAGATCATTGAGTCCAAATTTAAATTCTTTACACAAAACTCGCCGCTGTAGCGAAATAGTTAAACGTATTGCCCTGTGCCCAGCATTGTGTTAAGCGCTAGAAGTTTGGGGCTCAAATAACAGGGCAGCAATAGATTGTTCAGTAGGGCACAGAAGTCTCATCGCTAAGAACCTATGAGTGACAAAAATATGGCCTACAAGAAGAAAGAGTTCACGTACAATTTTTTAAAGATTTTTTATAACGAATTTGACTCTTTAAAAACATTTTAACACAGATAAAAATTACAGAGCTGTTTTATAAAGCTTACATTTTATATCACAAGTACCTTTTCAAACTGTAATGCTATTCACATGCGATACAAAATATTCAGCGGATTAAAGATAGAAATTTTATGCAGGCTGTGTATGACGCGAGTTGAAAGGATCGCAAATAGGTTATTCGCCGCGTGGCTAGACTCCAACTTAACTAAGGCGAAGTTCGTGGAATAATCGGAAATCTAATTCCATCATTTGGCTAATAATCCCGAGCTTTGACGGACATTGGGACGTGTAATCGCATCGATCATTATATAATTAACAAGAGGCGCGTCGCAAAGTTACTTGCGTACCTATGTGTGATGCCCTTTTTATTCCATGCCCCCCATAGTTAGAACTCATAATACATATCATTTATTAGACTTGATTTTTTCAATATTTTTAATTCTCTCATATTTTCAGCAGGTTAAAATAACGCTGTTAAATACGTAATATATTAGTTAATTTATTGTTAATATATTTTAATCACAACTCGCCTGCCGTATATAAAATTACTTAAAAACAAGTTAGCTAATATCTTTCCAAGATAAAGCCATTTTATTTAAATGTGTATAACTCGCGTAGATTAAAGACAACACTAATGATTCTTTATTTCTTAAGAAATTATTTACTAGTAAAAGAATTAGATTTGTTATAAAATACCCCACGCGAAGAAACGGGATTCCATTTCTAATTTTAAACTAGGACAAATATATAATTCTACTCTGATTAGATTAGAGTAGTCCTAAAAAATTATCTTATGTAAATAGCTTCTTGGTAATCGCGATAATCGAATTTAACTTTAAACGACTTCTAATCGGTCAAAAAGTTGTTATAATAAGAGAGGTGTAGACTGTACAGTTACTTCCGGGCTTAGAAAATGGAGCATTATTTTTTTAATATTTTTTTTACTTTAGTATATAATAATAATATAAGTAGAGACAGACAATATCGATCTTCAATCTATTACCAATTGAACACCAGAATAAAAATAACTAAAAGAGAATAGTTCACACTAGATACACGGTATGTAATGTGTTTTTTATCGATTTATTTTTATTTTTTCTCCATATTAGCTAACCTGGCAAACGTTCTTTTGCCATATAAAGTATTTAGACAAAATGTGACTAGCGTAAAACGGCTCTTGTGAGTTAATCTTTAAAGGTAGATATATGTTTTTAGATCATTTCTAGAGTAATCATTCTTAAATTCACATTTCGCAGCGCGCACATTCACCTTTAAAGGTGAATCGTTTTTCCCTTCTTTTTCCACATTTCCCTCTCTTTCTCCTTTCCTATTGGTCATATTTCTAGATAAATGGCAACTCAAAAATATTTTTTCCAATCGGACCAGTAGTACTTGAGATTAGCACGTTAAAACCATTCAGCTTTATAATATTAGTATGGATAGGCGTCCATGATTTTAATCTCCTCCACGAGAATGTTTCGAAGCTTACACAGCGATCTATATATGTACATATTACTGTTTACACATTTAGTGATTGTTCTAGTATTTACCTGCACAACGCCTGAGTATTTGAATTTACGTGGCAGTACTCTGAATTAATTTAATTAAAAGCGGTTTAATTATCTCAAATGCATAAGTCCGTAAATAAAGCTGTTATGCGTACGAATTCGATGCTTAATCAACAAAAACAAAGCTTCGTGTAAAGCTTACAAAACATTTGTGTACGTCCGGTTTATAATTAGAGTTATGGTTACGCTTCAACTTTCTCATCAAACGAACGTAGCTCAATGGTTGAACGTGTAGGGTGTCAGATTCGAATCCCAAAAAAAACGAGAATTTGTTATAGAACAACTATTCGCTTGTAAAGATCTATCATGAAGCGATATAGTATTTTTCTTACTCAATTCGATGCGCATTTTCTCTCCATTAATGTCCTAGAATTTCGCGTTTCAAACCGTTAAATGTGAAACTTGACTATATATTTAACTATACGATATAAATAAAAACTGTATCAATAAATAACGTTTCCGATTAATTATATATGGTAGCTAATAATGGCGTTCAACCCTTTGATTAGTAAAGCCCCTCTTTGAAGTAATAAATGCGTAACGGACTATTTTTCAGTGCAGGGGTGCGCAGGAGATACGGTTTTAGAGAAGCGTTGTTCCATAACTTTATATCCTGTTCCGTTAGAACAATGATTGTTCATAGTAAGGTTATCATATTTAAGCTTTGTTAACTAACTTTCCGAACACTTGATAGATGCCTTGTTAGGTAGAAAGGAGCTTCTTCGTGTTTGAACAGTAATCCGCGCATTATGGCAGTTGAAAGTGGTTCGGGTTGCAAATAGTGTACAGTCGGATGCGGAAAATTGTTATCAAGCTTAAAATAATACTCTTATATAATATATAAATGTAACTACGTTAAATACGTAGTGTTTTCAAATGATATTGTATATGAAAGAAAAATAATTGGTTTCAATGTTATTTTTTATTGCGAAATACTTTGAAATTATGGCAAGGTAACTCTAAATTCAAGGTGATTTAAAATTGCAATGTAACAACTTTGCTTAATATTTTGCGCATCTGACTGTGCGCGACGATTAAAAGAGATTTACTTGAAAATTAAACTTCCCTACACCGAACTGGTTTCATCAAACGCGCCTAAATGACCCAGAGCGTGATGACATCGCCTTATCCAATTTCCTACCAGCAATGCTTCCGCCATCCAGTGGTCCTTTAAAAACCACCTGTCATGCTTTTTCAAAACCAACATTCTTTTTTCAAAAGTATATAGAACGTTTTAAATAAAGAATTCGAACAGTTCGATTTTTAAAAGCACAGATGTATATTCTTTTCTAAGAAGTGCATTAGGGCATTAACAATGGCTGTGCAAATCTTACTCAACCGTAAAAACCCTAAGCTTTTAAAATAATTCGCTATGCATATAAATCGTACAAGTGGTTTCTATTCGATTTCAATGTTGTTTTGTATTTAAAGGAACAAGCAAACCTTGCCAAGCAACTACGAGCAGAACGAGCAGGCAACTCTTCAGTGGGCGCAAACTTCGATGAAGGAGTTACGTACGGAAATGAGGGAACTTAACCACAGGGTCAACAATTCGATGCTACTGAAACAGATTCATTTCATGAAAAATGAGGTAATTGTAAAAAAATAACCTTTATTTAAATTTTAAATTGTCAAACATACGACACTAGATAATCTTCTTGGATTCGAATCGAAATTTTAGTTCGGTAATTGAAATTTAAAACATATTATGAGCATACATTGTAATGTATAAAATATAAAATTTGATATAGATAGACTCGACAAATAAAAGCAATATACTATCTCTTAGTAGCTAATAAATATCAAATGCTTCACAGCGTCGAGTGGCTGAGTGGTGGAAAAATATAAAAGTACCCTCGAAATTCTACAGCGTACAGAAATATTCGATGAATCGTAAAATTCGTGAAAACGATCTGTGCAAAAGCAATAACTCATTTCTATGGTTCCATATCAAAAACGACATCACAAGACTCTGATGTCTGCATGTCTCAAGAGTACCATTTTTATAAGTGTTTGTGTTGCCAGTTTAAAAATTAGAAAAGGTGGTTACAATTTACGTTTGAGACTGTCGCTTGCTCGTTTATGCTAATCAAATCGTTTTGTGCAGTTGAAGCGAACTGTCAACGTGAACACGGATTTGGTGCAGATGGCCAGGACTCAAGAAACTAGAATTGACAAGCTGGACAACGAAGTCAGCATGGTCAGACATGAAAATCAGCAGATGAGAGGAATGATAGCGCAACTGAGAGGACACGTTGGCAAGCTGTCCAAAGAGGTAGGCGAACTTATAAACTTTACCACATAATATAGTTTTAGTCTGAGTTAAGTCTTAAGTTAAAATATAATAAGGTCGGCTTAAGTCTAGAACAAGGATAGTTGAAAATTACTTCGTGGAAAGATAACTACGTGAAGCGTTCTAACAGCGTCGACTAAACTTTGATGTAGGATGATCATTTTGAAAATTTTATAATTTCCCACTTGTGCCGTAAATTGTTTTAATCTAAATAGAATTTTAATCTCAAATATGGTACTGAATATTAGTATAAATACTTTGACATATAAATATTTAAAAGTTTTTTAACTTCTTTTTAATAACTTAAGTGTGAAAACTGAGCTTGTGAGATTTAACTAAGTGATGGTAACGCTTCAGCTTCCATATTTGTATAGTAAGCTAAATTTTCCTTAGCCTCATCTAAAGAGTGAAGTGCATCGTGCGAACGCTAATTATTACAATATTCAGAACTCGATCTAAGGAATCGTATGCCCAATTACATTGAAAAGGGGATTTATAAAAGAAATTTTATTCCCACGAGTAAAATTTCTTTCACGACAAATCCTGTGCTTACAAAAGCGCGTTGCATATTCCGAGCGTTCATTCATAATGAAATTTTCAACAGAGGACGTTTGTTTTTATGAGGGCTAAATTCACAGGCCATCTATGATCTGAGATAAGCGATTTTATTCGTGTCTATTGAGAACGCTACCTTTTTTATCGAATTTAATTTCGACGAACTCGTTGGTCTAATACTAACAATGTAAAGCAAGTATTAACAGATTGTGGGTTCGATTTTCAAGGCCCTACTGTCTCGTTATAATGTCTCTAAAACATGTTGGATTTCGTCTGGAAACCTAGATATAAAATGGATGGATAGATATTATATCGAAATTTAGTTTGGCTCGCGAACCACGTTCAGGTAAAAAGCCTTAAAAGTTTAATCTGGTTTCGGTTTCAAATTGTAAATTTCCAAATATTAAAGCCAAGATAGATCGACAGCACATCTAATCTCGATGTAGTTAATTTCAAAAATTAGTTCAACTTAGTTTAAGGCGTCCTAGGACACATATTGTATTGGATTAAAATCTTTGACGGTTATTCTCTGAACGTTATGTTGTTTGTTGTATGTTTGAATAGATAGTTTTTGCTCTTGCGTTAGATTTATTGCAATTGTATTAAGGTCGAAGATCGTACTCGTGGTTTAACAGGTGGTTCACGCTCCGTGAACTCGACCGTTGGTAACCGCCACACCCTATGTCCCTGTCTACTGGACTCGACTAATTAGTGTCTCATACAAATACGTTACCCCACTACTTCAATGCGGAACATTCCTGTGCAAAGGATCCCCCAGGATTCGAAGTCACATCTCGATACTAGCTAGAGAACACGTAGAACCATTGACTGTGCCACAAGGAACGTAATATCTTTGTTTGCCTGTATATTGCGTTGTCTAGTTGGGATGCGAATTACAGACAGCTTATCCCCGTGTCAAAATTGTTTTGCCAAACGTATGCGGAAGTTGCACCGACCCCATGCCCCGCGGTTAAAATGGGATACCACTTTATATGATCGTAGTATTGTCGCTTTCTTTTTTGCCTACTTATAACTGTTAAATAATATTTGAGGTAAAAGAGCCGAGGAAAATCCAGAAATAAATGTATGAATGGCACGAAATTTAATAATTTTGAAATCAGTGCGTGCCTCCTAGTGATAGAACACTTTCATTTGTTTGTAAGTTAGTACTTAGGTACGTAAAATTTTAAAAGTTACTTCGTTAATAACTACTGATTCAGATATTTTTTTTATACTTCTACTAAAAGTAAAAAGTTTCATAGCACTTATTTTGCATTGAATAATACTTCGATTGAGAACCTCCATTTTTGAAGTCGGTTAAAAAATGTAGTTAAATAATTATATATTGTGCATTCACATTTTTTAGGTAAGGATGTTTATTAAAACCCCAGCTGCAATGGCGTTTACCTGTTTCTAGATCGTTCTGTGAACACAGTAGGCAAATAAGCGTTCAGAAGTTCGTCCGTTTTTACATGAAAATTCAATTAATATTAATTTAGAGTTATGATCAACACAATGATCAAACGGTGGCGACTAAGTTTTGAATCAAATCGACTCACTCAACTGCCCTACGAGGTCCCGAGTTCGGACCCCGGGTCGAAGTTCCAGTTCGCTATTCGGATTAAGAAAGTTTTAGATTTAAAGAAATTTATTGACAAAAAAATATACATTCACTTGCGTAATTACAATTACTTATAGAATTTATACTACTTACTATATAAAATAAAAAACACATCTAAATCAATTAACTTTAAGAAAAGGAAAGTAAAAGGTTTTTATCAATTTGGTTAGTTAACGCCGTCAGTTATTGTCGATAATATAGAAGTAGATGTCCACATCTGGAGCCACGCGAGTGTGGTGGATATAGAGCCCCCTTTTCCCAAAAGAGAGGAGGCGTATTCTTAGCAGTAGGGAATTTTATGTTGAAGAATCTTTACCTGCTCTGCAACATAAAAGAATTTGTCAGTCTTGTGAAGAATGCAACTACAAAAAAAATGTTTTATTCAGCTGTAACTAACTACTTCGAGCGGTGTTTTTGCGGCTTTGAAGGTGCAAGATGAAATACACGAATAACACTTTTAAAGTTTTTTGCTTCATACAACGGGATTATTGCATTTTTGAAAGCACTAGTTATTTACGTAGCTTTCTTATACGTTATAGCTATGTTCTTATTATCCCGCAGAAATATCTCATGGGTGGTCTTTATGATGCGCAGATACACATTTCAAATCATCCGTCGTCGTCATTGAAATAGAAACAAGACTATACATATAGGGATCTATACTAATATATAAAGCTGAAGAGTTTGTTTGTTTCTTTGTTTGAACGCGCTAATCTCAGGAAGTACGGGTCGAATTGGAAAAATTCAGCGATGTGACTAATAGGAACGAAGATACAGCGAGAAATGTGAACAAAACGGGGGAAATTTTTCATCTATGTAGGTTTCAGATGCGTACGCTGCGAAAACGGTTCAAGATACCTAAAAGTTGTGTATTGAAGAATTATTTCCCGTTAAATGATCTAAAAAAAGTCCGCGACGCTATATGTCTATCGCTTAATATTAACTTGCAAGAACGACGGGAAGAGACGCAAACGACTTGGTGGCTAACAGCTTCGACCCTTCGTCTTGTACAACAAAATGCAAGATCGTCGCAGCTATACGAACGACATTTTGACATTTTCACAAGTTGCGTCGACCTCTTTTGTGTTCGGAAATATATAGTTTTTAAATTACATATATTATATACTAGCGACCCACTCCGGCTTCGCTACGGTGCAATGATGATTCTAAATATTGTGTTGTATGTAAAAATAGGTAGGCTCTGATCACTCTATCTATTAAAAAAAAACCCTCAATTGCGTGTTTTAAAGATTTAAGCATACATAGTTACAGAAAAAGCAACTTTATTTTATACTATGTATAGATATTTTGTCTATTAAATGTGTACCACTCGACAAGATGTGAAATCACTGTTTCCACTGCACATCTGAATCTCAGTTATCTGAATTCTCTAATGCAGATTTCCGAACAGATTTTACGATATAGAAATGCTATTGAAAAATACCTGTACCCCAAAACGTATTCACCCTTGCGGTTCGCTAACACTACACGGAAGTCGTATTCAAAGAAGCACAATAGCGGCATAAAACGACAAAGAGACACCGAACGAATATTCATCCACTGACCTTACCAATGATTCAATACTTTCAATCATTCGTGAAGTTATTTTTTTACAATGGCATTCGCAGCGGTATCTCAGGAAGGTATACGGGCAATATATTTTTTTATTTACTTTATAAACTACAATATAGCTTTACAGTATTTTATAGAATTATAAATTGGACAATGTATATATTTTATATGTCTCACTAATCCAAGCGTGCACAATTAGATAAATGATTTACCTTGTAATATATTTATTGTTTTCTTTACATGTGACTTTTGAGAACTGTAATAATTACCACTTGTTATTGTACATAATGGCATTATATAAATTAAACATTGTTTATATTGAATAATTTCGAGATGTGCATGTATGGTTGGAAAGAATTTTTTCGTGACGTGTAGGACACGGCAGCTCAGTTGGTTATATGGCACAGAACGCTGTGGACGCCGGTTCAAGTCCCGCCTGTGTCGTAATCTGAAATCACATATAACATGTCAAACTTTCATCCTAAGAAGGAATAGTTTGTATCCGCTCCATTTTTTACCAAAATATATGTACATATTACATATCGTTAAAAATGCGTTACGTTTATAAAATTGCGATATAGTTGTCCGTATTAATTCTGCATTCTATAAACTTTTTAACACTTTTAGGTACAGTGTTACTTACATTTTTATTTCTTAAAACAACACATAGTGTGAGTAATTCCGTTTGTCTTTGTGGGGCATGGAGCGAACACATTTATGTGTCCGTTTTTCGCATACAACTAGTTGATCAATCTTCTATGCCCTGCCCGACCGAAACAATCTATTGCTCATTGCGTTTCTCGCTGTATCTTCGCTGGTATTAGACACGGGTAAATGTTTTATAACCTACAGCCTAACCTAACCTACACAAAGGGATTTTTTTCAATTCGAACGCACAGTTTAACAAACAAACTTTACAACTTTATATATTAGTATAGATATTGCGTTATAGTCCGATAAGATGGCGGAAATTCAAAACATTCCAGGTCTGGACTACAGCGTCGGACATTCGACACTAATCTAGCCAGCACAAAATATGTAACGTCAGCAAAAAACGGAGACCACACCGACTGAGGCACATTTTACACGTAAATCAATCTCTGGAATTAATTAATTAGCTTTCGAGATTCGGTTTTTTATAGCGATTTTGGGCGAAACAAGTGAACATATGGCCGTGTGAAATATTTTGTCAATTTCACCTGTTTTATGATCGCGTAACTATATCATACCTTAGTTCATGTAATTAGTAGTTAGTAATATTATTAATGGACTAATTCTGCAATCGCACCGAACATTTATCTACGTGCTTCTATATTCTAACTAGCTGAGTCAGCGACTTTGTGCGCGTAGAATTGTTATTTTGGGCTTCAAAATTCGTTTTTGCTTACCTCTCCATCTTTATAAATTTAAGCTGATCCAAGACATCGGTCGTATCCCGTCGTTCGGGTTCCGGCGTTCTTGCAAGTTAATCTTAAAATATAGACATATGTTGCAGACATTTTTGTAGATCATTTAAAGAGGAATCATTATTTTCTACACATTGTTTGCTAAACCATTTTCACAGCGTACTCATCGGAAACCCACAGATATGAATAATTTTCCCCCCTTGTTTACACATCTCCTGCTGTTTTATAGCGCCTTGCTTGATAAATACTCTAACCAACACAAAAATAATTTTGCAATTCGAACCAACAGTACCTAATTGAGATTAGCGCGTTAGAACAAGAAAAACTCTTCAGCTTTATATATAAGTATAGATATGTAATTTTAAAATTTTAAACTTTCGTGACCATTATTGCATTAATTAGTTGAATATTTCGATTTCACGTAACATAAGGAATTAGCATAAAATGTAACCTCGTTGCACAAGCGATCGCGGTTGGTGTTCTACAGCAGGTGTTCATTTTGATTCTCTTTAATGTCTTTCTTTGATTCCCGTCTTCGAGAGATATAAAGACTGGTTTTAACTCGGCAATTTTAAGCTTTATAATAACTCGTGACCCGAATAAGTACTTTATAACAATACAATAAAATCAAATAAGGAGAAAAAACTTTTTTAAGAGAGCAGACAGACTAGCGCGGGGTTCATTTGATGGTAGGTGAAATACTCCAGCTTAGCTTAGCTTAGCTTATTCTAAACAAGATGCGCTGCCGACCTATTTTGGCTTTCGATATTCGAAAATTCATAAACTGAAACTGAAACGGGATTAAATTTGGCGGTTTTTTTTTTTGTGAATCGGACGGAATGTCGACATTCCTACCAGCCATTAAATGTCCAGATCAGACGAAGTGCAACATATTTCAGAAAAATAATAAATTGATTAGAATCATGTTCAACCCGGTGAGGATTAAATCCATGACACCTCAGATACATTACAGCAACGACACCGTCAATAGTGAAATATGGAATAAAACTATGAATGAAATATTTATGTCATCTACGCGTTCCATAGTGGAAAGCTTTTTCTTTACTCCAACCTATAATTTAATGAATAAGCTAAAAATAGATAAAATTAATTCCGTTTAAAGTATGTATCAATATTGTAACGTAATGAATAGCAAACAGCTGTCTATAGTTTACGCGAGTAGTACACATTTAAATAAAACACTTTAACGGTTTAAAACGCGAAATATTAGTTAAACTTATTTGAAAATGATTTTTAACTAATATATCGCGTTTTAAACCGTTAAAGTGTTTTATTTAAAAGCAAACAGCTGTAGATTTACATCTAGTAGGTAAGTAAATGAGGACGGCGGCAGAACGGGTCCGGTTTCCGCACTTGTCTTAAAAAAAAAAGTTTATTTCTCAAGCGAATTCCCAATAATAAGAACGGATATAATCCCGCCGAATCAGCGAGATTCGTTCTCAGACGATGTAAATAGCGTATGTAAATACAGTAAATGAACTGTGATGTATTAGTCTATAGTTCTATAGTGACGTACGCTTAATAAACAATAAGGTTTTATATCCATTCAGAATTTTAGAGCCATCAAATTAAGAAGAAATAAGGTTTTATTATAGGCGAACAATTCTATACCGTGCAAAGTTCGTGCGCTACTTTTAAAATATACAATTTATCTATGAATTTTATCGTAAATTGCGCGGCTATTAATACAGCGAAACATCTGCCCGTACAACAGTGTACCGACTAGAGGCTATATTATCTATATCTAGAAATAGGAACCTATATCTCACTCTCCACAGATGTTCCACCTGGACTTGTTGCAGACCCTGTTTAAAGGCTTTGGTATACGGGCGTATAATTTAGGTACTTACCTGCATAATAACACGTGACAGCGTTACATTTAATACATAACGTACAAATATTTGAAGTGAATTTTTTTTAATGGTACTTTTTTAACTCTCAAATATTTCGAGGCTTTCGAATTTCGATATGACGTCAGAAAACCTAAACATGAAATTACTATACTCTTAAATATATTAATAACTAATAAATATTAAATAACTTCAGTTAATATAAATTTAAGTTACCATAAATTAATAGCATTTCGAAAACCGCACGCGCAACATATGAATATAAAAGAAACGCAAGGAATGTTCTGTGCGTTAATGCAAATAATGATAGGTGTAAGAATTGAGTGGTTTTATAAGTTAAGCTTCGGCCCTTGTCGGGTTCAATCGCGAGGGTATAACCAGTTCTGCGGCTCTCTTTAATTAAACGCGAGGATTTGTAGCAGATGGCCGCTTCATTTACCTGCATCATTATTATCTATCATTGAAACTGCGATTCACAACAGGGCAATATTCGGCCAATATTATATTACCGTTACACGCGCAAAAGGTAAAGTTCAATACTTCCAAGTTTCAATGAACGAAACTTGTTTTATTCTCGCATTATACCCTCCTTGATAGAATCCATCCAGTTATTGGAAATTTTATCAAAGGGAAACAATGAAATATCAATGTTTCAGGGGAAAATGTTATTGGAAAGTCGTACTTTGAAGTTCAGGTGCTTCCTATTTGATGGTAATAAAATCTGCATGCAATATGCATTTTAAATCTAAACACTGTCTGAGAGACTGAGTTTCTGAGGATTGAGATGTAGAAATGTCTGTGTAACAGCAAAGTTGAAAAGGTAGATTTACATTCGAAATTTGAAACGGCATTCGTTTCAAATTTCAAATGTAAATCTACCTTACCTATCCTTGCAATTTCGTAAAGCAATAACATATAAGTAAAGTAAATTATAGATATGTTAATATTATTTTACAATTAATGTTTACATAATCCAGCCTTTGAAGACTACGTTTACTTTGCTTTAATTAAAAATACTGTATCTGACAGTACTGAACACTGAGTTTCTTTCATTTTCGATTTAATATTGCAATATGCTATACCAACAATAATTACTATCATATAATAACCATCTTAATCCCCTGGTACATGTTACAATTAAAACGTCATGTCTAATTAACGCACTTACGTTGTCCACAAGGTCAGTGTATCCCTACAGGCCATTGTAACACTTCATATGTCACTGTACCGTTATGTAGGCTGTTCAATAATTTTTCCATATAGAACGAACGAACATTGCACGATTATATTTTACAATTAGGTAGGAGAACTAAGATACAATAAGTACAAACTTAAAACAAGACGTTTTTTGACATGTTAATGCTTAATTATCTGAACATGGATGGTTTTCAGTTCGCTGTCTGATAATTTTGTGTAATCTTTACAAAAAAATTTATACATTTTTATAAAAAATATGAAATGACGCTTATGGTACATTTAAGAACCATTTTTTTTTACTTTTTGAGATAAAGACGAACTGTCATTATTATATTTAACTTAAATCTTATTGAAAGTAATTTTTTATAAAGTTGATCTCCTTATCAGTTTTGAAGCATAACTTGTTAAGCCTTTGCACTAAATCTTTAATGTAAATAATTAATTATTTAATATAATGTGTATTAATTATTAATACACTGTCTCTATTCAGAAAATGGCTCTGTAGGTTAATATGGGAACACAAAAGTGATTAGAAATAGATCGTTCTCTTGTCTTATAATTAGTACTGTTATTAATGGATCAGATACGGATTAAGCCTAGTGTTGACCTGATTCCTCTTTTGTTATAGCTGAAAACTAAACAGATGGAAGAAATGCAAGCCTTCGAAACGAACAACGTGGAAGTTCAGTCGAAGTCTGGACACAGACTGCGGCATAGCAAAATGATCCACACACAAATTTCCCGCTTGGCTCGCAGCCAGGACCAACTAGACGCATATCAGCAGACCCTACAGAACCAATTACTTGATGTTCAACGACGTCTCGACCGCATCGAGGAACCTAACTGGAAACTTATCACGGCTAAATTAGAATACTTTGAGGTGGAAGCGAAGGCACTCAAGGACCAAGTTAACAATGTGTCTCAGAAAGTATCAGACTTTGACAAAGTGCATGCGTCTTTACTCGAATTGCGAGAGGACGTTGAAAGCCTGGAGAATAAAGTCGATAAGACAATACCGGAATTCAGAAAGGAGATATCGAAGTTGGATATAAGTTTTGCTCAGGTAATGCAATTTAAAATCTGGGACTTCGATTTTACATTAGAATAATATGGTAACACACAAGATTGGTTTACTTTCATTTTATATAAGATGCTCCTAATGCTATTGAAATGTGAACTTTTAACCTGCTATATAAAAAGTCTAGGTGTTATTTATAATCTATATATAAGGCTGTTAGAAGCAGAGTGACTTAATAACAAAAACATGATTTTCAATAAGAAGAAAATAAAAATGCGCAATTAACTTAGGCGCAAATGAGTTTGGATTATTATTTGTATAAGAATTATTTTAACGATTTTCAGTCAATGTGCTCTTTTAGATTAACATTTTTAAACTATGAAAATATAAATAAGTCAAGTCATAAAATTGAAGTTAGGCTACTCTGCCTCTGGCGGCCTCATGTATACTAAATCCCCATAGCCATGACACAGTAGTGAAGTAGTCAGTCACAAACTTTCGCAATTATAATATTAATAGAATTCTTTGAGTATTTCTTAATTAATACTTTTTCTTTGTCTATAGTTGACTGCCGCGACATCATACTTGAAGGAGAACCAGGAGAACTTGAAACAGACTGTGAAGGCCATAGCTGTCAGCGTCAGCAATACGATCGACCGTTCCGAGATACAGCGTCTTGATATGAACAAACTCAATGAATCCATACTCGACCTAAAAGCGACCGCCAAACAGCACTTCTACCGTTTGAACGATCACATTTTGAAGGTGAGTTTTTTTTTCTGAGCCTCCCATCACAGCATCTACAATTTGTGGTTTACGCGAGTAGTTTTAAAAAACAAAAAAAAATTTTTGGAGATAATAACTTGAAATATAGAACTCTTTTTAAATGCTTGAGTGTGAGTTACAATACTTAAATATGTATAGTTTTTTTATTAATTACACTCAGTATGAAAATGCAAAACATCAAAAGAAGTTAAAACTATAACGAAATACAAATACGCTATCCAAGTACCTGTTAAGAAACAAATGCCAAATACTATTTCAAGATTTCAACATAAATCGCGCGTTTGTGATATACCATAACAAATTCCCTTGCAAAGTGGCTAATTTAAATATTTATTTACCACGTATTCGCAATTAAACCTTTAATTACAACGATATTTACATTTGCGACAGTCATGTAGCGTTGTCAAATACGTACTTTATGAAGTCAAACATTTCAACGGTTTCATTAGTTTTGGCATGTTAATAAAGGTAAACTAATTGCAATACGTCAGGTCTTTCATTACCTACATGGGACATATTTTTGTAACGTTCATACTTTTGAGTTCATATGCTGATGATCTCCAGTCGTGGATTATGTACAAACAACATTTAACCATCGTAGTCTATGCATAAGAACTGACAAACTGTGCATAAACTATAATTCCATGTTTTTTCACAGAGCGAAGCCACCCATGTCGAGTCCAACTACACCGAAATTGTCTCCCTCCCAGAATTGATGGGTGAAGTGAAGGAACTGCAGCCGGTCGAGCGTGAGTACGAAGACCTGGTTAAGCAACTGCCCAAGGACTGCTCCACTGTCTCCGGTCCCCCCGCCACCTACCTCATCCACCCAGGCAGGTCCCCCGTGGAAACCTGGTGCAACGAACACTCGACTCTTCTCCAGCGTCGCTACAACGGAACCGTGGAATTTAACAGGAAGTTTGTTGAATATGTCCAAGGCTTCGGCGACGCCACCTCCGAATTCTGGCTCGGCTTGCAAACGATGCACGAGATTACCGCGGACAACTGCTCTTCAATGAGGATCGACATGACCGACATCTACGGCAGCGACTGGTACGCCCAATACGAGCATTTCTCCGTCGGTACCGCTGATACCGGATACGTTCTTGAAGTGAGCGGTTTCAAGGGAAACGCGAGCGATGCCTTCGAATACCAGAACCACATGGAGTTCTCTGCTATCGACCGAGACCGTGACATCTCGAACACCCACTGCGCGGCTAACTACGAAGGGGGCTGGTGGTACTCTCACTGCCAACACGTCAACATCAACGGGAAATACACACTTGGCTTGACCTGGTTCGACGCTGCGAGGAATGAGTGGATAGCTGTTGCCACCAGCGAAATGCGCGTGTACCGCCGCCCTGGATGCCCCTAAATTCTCTTATATAACCCGATAAATTTTGCACACACGTGCCGTAGTACTAAATGTTGTATTATTATAATCATACCAAAGAAAAGCTAGTAAAAGCTCTACTCTAACTCTATCGATATCTCTTATCATATGTATACCAACATCTTCAACTCCATCTATAGAGATTAACTGTTAAAGCGTAGCTGTTCTCTATGGTAAATGTAACTATTTATTGATAGCCAGTGTAGCCGCGTTAAATGTAAGTATTATTCCCAGATAATGTTTATTTTCTGTGTGAAAAACTCTGTTAATTTTAGTCAAACAAATTATGTTATATTTATTATTAAGCAATTATTAGTGTTTAAGATTTGAGCATTAAATGCGGGTACTGATTAGACTTACTTTTAGTTTGAATCAGTGGTCTTTTCTATTTTGCCTACATTCCGTTAGTAATTGTAAATCTTTATTTAGTTAAGTATAGGTTTCTGAAATACATTTTGTTGTACTTAAAAGTTATACGTTCACTAAGGAATTTAATATCTTAAAATGTAGATTAGATTTTAATGTGTCATATTAATGTGTATTTTCAAAAGTTCTTGGTGTTTTACGGAGCATATACAATATTATAATAATCACTATAACTAACTTTAATAAACGTAGGTACTGTTCGGAAAAGCGCTACATTTTGCGATTGAAAATTTCGTAGGTAGTTATTACACTTATCGTAAAAAAGCTGTACCAATGGATTTAACCAAATAAAGGAATAAAATAAATATATTGTTTTATTTATGATTAACCCATCATGTACAAGGTTTTTTTATTTTTCACAATTTTAAAATCAATAGTAATAGAGCTGCTTTCCCTCTCAACAATAATATATTATTATATTACTTGTGGATATAACTAGCTATGGTTACGACTTCGTCCGCGTGAAATTGTTATTTTTGGCATCAATTTCTTTGCAAACCTCAATTTTATAAATTAAACCTGTTACCTACGGACGTCGTCCGTGTCCTGTTGTCCTTGCAAGTTAACCTTAAAAGATTGACATATACTGTCGCAGACATTTTTATATCGTTTAAAGAGTGATCATCCCTTCATACATATTTTATGGTTAATTGTACGTAGCTTTCCCACATTTTCCACCATCTCTTCGCTCATTTTGGTTACAGCCTAAAGTTTCATAGCCTGAAGCCGTCTTCGATAAAACAAAGAGAATTTTTAAATTCGAGATTATCGCGTTCAAATAAACAAACTCTTCAGCTTTATACTACTACTATAGATAAAACCACATATAATATTTTCGAATTGTAAATGCGAGAATCAGATATCAGTATAATTAATCGTCATTATCTGATTCTCCATCATTATCGGTGTTTAAATTGTAAACGGAGTTGTTACTGAGAAATGGTTCAGTTTTTATAACGTAACTAATATTGTGGTGTTGTTCACTTATGTTGTGTTTCTCTTGTATGTCCTTATAGATGTTATTCTTCTCGGAATGGTGAATACCGCGGTTTAAGAAATCACGAATGTCGTATACTGTCCCTTCTAGTCTAGATAGGTCGTTGTCGATTTCAAGTGATTGCAGATCGTTAATCCACAAATCGGGCCTCGACAAGGGTTTGTTCAGTCTGGTTTTTGAGAGCCAATCTGATAGCTTTACAGCCTTCGTGGCTAGAAATATTTCTCTAATACTTCTCTGCGTAATGTTTCTTAACAACGATACGTTTTCTACTAACCATCTGAAATTAACACAGTTAATTATTTTATTGATAAGGTAAATAAAATACTTAATCTAGAATCTTCTTTTTTATGATAGAAGAGGGCGGACAAGCATGTCGTTCACTTGATGGTAGGTAAAACACCCTCGCCATATTAATCTAAACAATAAATGCTCCAATCAACACAAAAACGATAAATGCTCTAATCAACACAAAAATAATTTCAATTCGAACCCGTAGTTCCTGACATTAGCGCGTTCAAACAAACAAACTCTTCAGCTTTATATATTAGTATACATTATTAGCCATGCATTGCTACCATTACACCGTCAAATCTTCACTAGATAGAAGAAAAATCTCACGGGCTATAATACTTGATGTCCGTGTAAATAAGGGGAAGATCATGCGCATATCCACAACCCAAGCCCCAAGACAGAATACCCAAAAGATTCCCTCGCAGGACGAGGGGCGCCCCTGGTACACCCAAGCATGGTGCCACAGGCTCCTTGTCGCGTGATTCTCCCAAACACATCATTCCTTTCTCGATATTGATGTTATGCTAAAAATACGCGAAAATTTAAAATCATATAAATAAAAACACGACACTGGCAGGACTTCAACCGGCATCGACAGCGTTCCGGGCTGTTGCTCTAACCAATTGAACATCATGTGCAATAGATAACATATAAAATATTAAAGTTGACTAAATGGCCATCGAACCCACACCCGTTAATTAATAGCCATACATCGCTACTATTAGACCAAAAAGTCAGTCAATTAGTAGACAAAATATTAATCAGTTTTAAAAGAAATATTAATTGTTCTAGCAATTAAAAGCCCATGTTAAACAACGTGGAGTTTTTAAAAGTTGAGCTTATTGAAAACAATTTTTATACGACATTCTGTGAAATAAAATTGGTATGGCCGCGGGGAGTACACTGCCTACAAATTACAATATGCTGAAAACGAATTATGTTTTTGTTTTGTTAAAATGGTTCTTATATTTAAAACAAGCGAAAAATATTTATTAACGATATAAGTAAATACAGACAGTATTTACTAAGTAGTAGTAGACGCGAGTAGTACACGCAACGACGCAACGGAGGGACTGTTGCTGCAATGCCTAACTCTTAAAATGAATTCAAATGATATCCCCTCCCTCCCAACATTCCCCTCTGTTTCTTTGCTCTTATTGGTTGGAACCTGATGTTTTATAGCCTAAAGCCTTCCTCGATAAATAGTTTATCCAACAAAAATAATTTTTCAATTCAAAACAGCAGTTCCTTAGATTAGCGCGTTCAAACAAGCCAAACTCTTCGGCTTATATTAGTATATAGATGTAACAAAATACTTTACTTGACTATAAACATTGCAGGCACTGTTTTTGGGGTTAACTTCGAATGATATTGTCCGCAGCATCGGGTCTGTCCATTCGTCTGGGAAATATATAGATGAACGTGGTAGACATAGTTCTTTGCCCTGCAAAAAATCATTATCAAAAATATAATTAAAACCACAACTACCCTCAATAGGTACGATTATATATATAGGTATATCTTATTATATAAATAATTATTTTGTTTTACATTAATGCCATGGCAACAATAAACACATAGATACATTTATTGTTGGTGTAATGGTAGCAACGTGGCTAATAATCAACGGGTAGCTTCGATTCCCACGGGATCCAACATTTTTCTAATCAAATAATAATTTTTCTGAAGTATGTTAGGCTTCGTCTGGCAACCTGGGCTTTCAATGGGTGATAAGGACCCATCCAGGTTACGAACTACCGTCCACAGATGAAAAAGTCGTCATTTAAGGTTTTAGTATGTTTATCTGTCCTTTATTTCGGGATCGGCCACATTACAATGGATATAATAATTACTGAATACTCCATGTAAGGCCGCCTCTGTAGCTATTTGTTAAACGAATTTAGCATTGCTTTGAAGTCCTGAGTTCGAATAACGGGGAGACAATAGATTGTGTCGGGGCGCAGACAGCTGATCAACTTGTAAAGGAACCGTTCGTTGTCTGTAAAGGAAATGAACGCAGATATGATATCACCCCGTGCTCCACGGGGGGGGGGACGAAACGGACACAGATATGTGTTTGTTCCATGCCGCACGGGGGGGGGGTTACGGGATTTCACAGTTTCATACCGATGAAGCTTTGAACTTAATTAAAATGATAGTTACCGTGAAATCGCATCGTCCCCATCCAGTTACAAAGGCTGTTCCGGCTAAAACGCTATTCAGCGACACTAAAGCAATTGTCTTTGATGATGACCTGTCAATAATCTCGATCGATAATTAGGTCGGATGCTAAATTATATGAGAGTTGCATAGTCTTTGTCGATTTCAATAGAGCGATGAGTTGTAGGCCCTTTTCAAATTAAAAACTTAAGGTTTAAAACTCGAATCTAGTTTTCTTTGCAACTATGCTGGTCACGGGGAGACTAAAGATGGAGGGTGTGTCTGACGTCAAAATAAAACTGCAACGCTAGTGCCATCTGTTCCGTCGTAGTTAGTATTTGACGAAACTGGCCGGGTCCTTGCAGAATTGAATAACGACGAAACGTCGGGCCATAGATAAAATATATTCAAATAGGTTTAAATAATATATGTTGCGTTTTAAACCGTCTCTGTGTAAATCTGAAATATTTTCAGAGCAGATATACGAGTATATGTTAATATAAAACGAAACAAAGACAATAATAAAATAACAAAATTTACGTACGAAAGCCTTTGAATAACTGCTGTAATAATTAAGTAATAAAATAAAACGCAGCGCAAAATACGAACACATCAGTTCACAAAAAAATGTATTGAAAACAATGTTACGCGAAAAATACAATGTAATAAAAACAGATTTCGTATTGGCACTGAAAGGGACAAAGCTTTATATATTGAATTCGTAATTAATAGAAAAAAAAACGAAGTAATCTCTCTGCGTTGAATGTAGTAAATCTAATCAAAATATTTTTAATATAGAGGATATACTTTTTTGCTTTGCTTGCCATGCTTGTCTGTCCTCTATTAAATTAAAAAGTCGGGCGCGTATACCACAATACACTTCTCTAATGATATTCTCAAGACTAGCTGTGTTAACGATTGCGTCCGTGTAGAATAGTTATTTTGTGCGTCCAAATTTGTATTTGCAAATTTTCTCTGTATCTTTATAAGTTCAAATGGGTAACACCCACAACATCGGTCGTGAACATTTTTTTAGATCGTTTAAAGTGAAGTCATTCTTTCATACATATTTTTTGGTGTCTTGAACCGTTTTTACAAGCGTATGCATCGGAAACGAAGAGTTGAATAATTTCCCCTATTTTTTGTTGTTTGTTTTTCTTCGCTCCTAGTGTTAGCGCGATGTTTTTGAACGTACCACGATAAACTTTCTACTCAACACAGAAATAATTTAAAATTCGAAAATAAATTGAAAAAAAAGTTCGACTCGGGCAGGACTTGAACCGGTATCTTCAGCATTCCGTGCTGTTGCTCTCCCAATTGAGCTACCGAAAAATTCGATGTGCAATATGCAACATGTAAAAAATAATTAAGTTTTCAAACAATAATAATTTTTCAGTAGTTCCTGAGATTAGTTCAAACAAACAAACAAACAAACGCTTCAGCTTTATATATTAGTATAGATTTGAATCAACTGATACACTGATGACAGCTCGGCCTGTTAATAAGCCCCCTTTATAGCTTACAAGGCTTTTGATGGTCTGTGGACGTATGACTTGTACAGGGCCTTTATATTCAATAATAACGCATTCAAAGGTATTAATAGGTATTCAGAAAATCTAGGCTTTCACGTCTGAATTACATGTATGTGAAATGTAAAATTAATTAAAAATTCAATGTGTACACTTGTTTATATTTTTTTAATATTATAATAGTAGTGTTTTGTTTTTAACTTAAGTGAATATATTAACATAAATAAAGTATACCTGTCTGCAGTTTACTGTCTGTAAAATATTCTTTAAATAAGTTTAACTAATATATATATCGCGTTTACACGAAGTACTTAAAATACATCAGTGAAAGGGACGTATTAAATGCCCCAAGCCCCAGACTATAGGTGTAAAACAATCCTTACCTTATAACAAGATCTTCGTAAATCCTCAAGAGGAGTATATCTGCTTTCAGCGTGAACGGATCGAAGTCTTTGTGAAAAAGGAGAAAGACGACAGTCAACAGTGTTGTGCCTCTGTCGGAGTAGTTTTCACCCACTACTACGTTCAATTCGTTGATTGGGATACTACAAAACGAGTAAACGTGTTGCCTAGCACAGCGTTAAGCGCGGGGGGGGTTCGAATCCCTAGGACAGATACATAACGTGGTATTATTATTTTGGGTATCATAGTTTTTACTCAGCTTACAAATTGTGGCTGTTACAGACGACTTCGTCCGCGTCCCGTCGTATGCCAAGTTAAGATTAAAGATATACATAAATGCGCGGACGTTTTTAAAAAGACTATTAAAAAAGGAAGAAGGAAGAAAGGAAGGAAGGAAGTGTCAATTCTGCATGAACCCGGCCAGTTTCACCAAATACCAACTTCGACGGAACAGATGGCGCTAGCGTAGCGGTCTTTTACTTTGACGTCAGAGCCATCGTCCCACTTTAGTTTCCCCGTCACTACGGCTGCTGCAAAGCATCCGAAACGTCGGGCCGTAGTTAAAAATAATTATCAAACAAATTTAACTAAAATATATCGCGATTTAAACTGTTGAAGTGATTTTATTTAAATGTGTACTACTCGCGTAAACTATAGGCAGAGTCATTTTATCATACACATGTTTTCCTTTTTTTTCGTTTCTTTTTTGCTTTTTGTCGCACTGTGATAATATATAGCCTTCCTCGATAAATATTCTATCGATCACAACCATATTATTTTAAATTCGAACCAGTAGTTTTTGAGATTTGTGGTATTAAACAAACAAACTCTTCAGCTTCAGCAAAATTATTATATCTGGGGTAACGGATCGATCGCTAAGCGTTCTTGACTAGTAGCTAAAGTATATTTGTACTTATTTTGAATTAAGCTTGTATCGCCCAAAGGTGCTTTGCGTACTAGCTATTTATTCAATTTAGTTTCACAGTCTAATGCCCAGGAATACTGTTAATTAATTTCGTATACTTTGAGCAGTGTTGCAAAACTTTGCTCTAACGCGAATTTAGACAATCTAAACTGTTTCACATAAAGCGTATTTGAATAAACGCTTAACTGTAAAGTTATTTATAATATAAGTATAGTCCGTAGTTCAAGCAAGCTCTTCCATGTTATACCTAAAGTGAAGAGTTTGTTTGTTTCTTTAAACGCGCTAACCTCAGGAAATACGGGTTCGAATTTTAAAATTACTTTTGTGTTGGCATTTGTCGATGGCTATAAAACATTGTCCCGTAACTAATAGGACCAAATACAGCGAGAAATGTGAAAGAAAAATGGGAAAATTATTCATCATTATGGGTTATGGGTTTCCCAGACGTAAGCTGCATAAACGGTACTAGAGAATAGAAGATACC